TCTCTCTCTCTCTCTCTCTCTCTCTCTCTCTCTCTCTCTCTCTCTCTCTCTCACGCACACACACACACACACACCTCTTCTCGTTTTTTACAGTTTGTTTTTTTTTCTTTTCTTTCTTTTTCAATGTTCTCGTATTTTCTGCCCAGTCGTTGCTTCTTGGTCGGTGCCCGCCAACTACGGGATGTCACCTACGAATTGTAATAAAAAGAAAAAGAAAAAACTAAGAAGAAAAACGAAAACAAAGAAGAGAACAGGTGTCATAGGCGTGCCGTAGGGGGGGAGGGGAGAGAGAGAGAGAGAGAGAGAGAGAGAGAGAGAGAGAGAGAGGCATCAACGAGTTGACTACTCTCGACATGCACAAAAGACAATAATCATGGCGGTATACCTTTCCATGTTCTAGTGGAAGATTCACTCTCGTTTTGCACATTTCGAGAGTAGTGGAGCGGCTCGACTCTCTCTCTCTCTCTCTCTCTCTCTTGCACGCGCGCGCGTGCGCGTGCGCGCGCGCGCCCACACACGCCATGAGAGAGAGAGAGAGAGAGCCGCGCCGCTCCACTACTCTAGAAATGTGCAAAACGAGAGTGAATCTTCCGCTAGAACATGGAAAGATACATCGCCATGATTTTTCGCTACTGTGCACACGTCGACACAGAGAGAGAGAGTCGCCAGGCTGTGTGGGGTGTTCCAAGCAGCCCGCCGGCTGTCGTGCCACAGATTTCGTGAAAATAAAAACCATGGCGGTGTATCTTTCCATGTTCTAGCGGAAGATTCATTCTCGTTTTGCACATTTCGAGAGTGCCAAAGGGACCGTTTTTTTTTGTTTTTTTTTTTGCCTAAAACAAAGTATCCCGTATTTCTCTTGTTGCGTTTTTGATAGCTGGGCCAAGTACTGGTGGTTTAACAACAACAACCAAAAAAAAAAATCGTAATAGCAACGCCTTTATCACAGTGCTATGTATTGGCTACCTGTCATGCAAAAAACAGAGAGGCATCCAAACTACTATGTACTGGCCACTTATCATGTAAAAAACAGTCTCTCCTGTATACAAAGGTAGGTAAGCGATTTAAAAAAAATAAAAAATTATGGGGCAGTCAAGGTTATAGTTTGTAAATGCATCGCAAATTGCGTTCTAGCAGTTTAGTAAGGCCCCAAGTTTCAAATGCAGTTGAAACTCGGGCTGGTCTTTTCTAGCAGGGGAACCTGGACCCATTTTTAGGGTTTGTAAGGATATTAGAAGTTGTAGGTCAACTTTGTCTTTTGTGAAAGTTGGTTGAGGGTCTCGAGTCATGGATAGGGCACTGTTGTTTTTCTCTTTCCTTTCTTTTTTAGGGTGTTTCTTTTCAGATTGAAAGAATTTGGTCCTCATGATAGTTACTCGACTACGTTTATTAGTATGAAGTGGCGGTAGTGGTCTGCAATATTTTTTACACATTTGAAGGCTGCCACGGGTCTCGAACCATAAACATGTTTTAGGGTCAATGACGTAGCTAGTTGGAGTCGGCTAATTCCATTTACGTGACAAGCTGGTTGAGGGTCTTGAACCGTGGATCGGTCATTGCTGAATTTTCTTTGAGAAATTATGATATTTCTTTTTGGAATAAATGGA